ATTTTGCTACAAGGAGGCAGGGAAAGATAGTCTTTGTTCCAAGAAGCTCTGGGCTTAGCTCAGTTCTATTACTGTCCCTTAATGGCAGGGATACATTCTGAGAAATGCGTCTTTAGGCAATTTCATTTTGTGAACATGGAGTGTACTTACACAGACTTAGATGGTAGAGCCTACTACACACCTAAGTTGTAGGGTATAGCCTATTGCTCCTTGTACAGCCTGTGACTGTACTGAATACTGTAGGCAACTGTACTGAATACTGCAGACAACGGTAAGAATTTATGTCTCTCAACATAGAAAAGGCACAGTAAAAATACAATATAAAAGATTAAAATGCTATACCCGTACAGAGCATCTACTATGAACGGAGCTTGCAGGGCTGGAAGCTGCTGTGGGTGAGTGCATGAAAAGGCCTAGGATATTACTGTCCACTACCGCAGACTTCATAAACACTACATTTAGGCTACACTAAATTTATTTTTTAAGTTCTTTCTTCAATAATAAGTGAATCTTGGCTTACTGTAACTTTTTTACTTTGTAAACTTTACATTTTTAAAAACTTTTTGACTCTTTTGTAATAATAACGCCTTAAAACACAAATACGTTGCAGCTGTACAAAAATATTTTCTTCTATTTTTATTCTATAAGCTTATTTTTCCCATTTTGAAAATGTATTTATTTACCTTTTAAACTTTTTTTCTTAAAAACGAAGATGCAGGCCTACACAGGGTGAGGATCATCAAGATATCACTAGGTGATAGGAATTTCTCAGCTCCATTCTAACCTTGTGAGGCCACTGTTGTAGATGTGGTCCATTGTTAACCAGAACGTCATGGCAGCACATGACTTTATTACAGAAGAAGGAAAGAATGGACAGTGGGGAGCAACCAAGGTCTCTGTCTGCCACAGTTCCTCCACCAGCCCCTGAGACAGAGTTCCCCTCAGGAGGAGTCTAGTGTGCGGACCCAAGTACACATCATCTCCAGACAGAGGGACTTCAGGGAAGTTGTTGACATGGGCTTAGGAAATGGTGGGAGAGTGGCAGGCACTTGGGGATGTTGAAAGTATCTGAAGATAAATCCAGCCTCCCAGATCTGCCTGGAGAGAGGCATTGACAGGGCAGCCTGGCTGCTCAGAGCTACCTTATCCCAGCCTTGTCACTAGCAAGATATCTCTCCTTCCTGGGTCTCATTTTCCTCTTCTTTTTTTTTCTTTTTTTTTTTTTTTAGACAGAATCTCACTCTTGTCGCCCAGACTGGAGTGCAGTGGTGCGATCTCGGCTCACTGCAACCTCCGCCTCCCGGGTTCAAGCAATTCTCTTGCCTCAGCCTCCTGAGTAGCTGGGATTACAGGCACCCGCCACCATGCCTGGCTAATTTTTGTATTTTTAGTAGAGACTGGGTTTTACCATGTTGGCCTTGAACTTCTGACCTCAGGCAATCCGCCCACCTCAGCCTCCCAAAGTGCTGGGATTACAGGTGTGAGCCACGGCGCCCAGCTCTCATTTTCCTCTTCTATAAAGGAGAGTAATAACTCTACCTTGTAGGGTTGGTGTGAGGCTCGTTTGAAGTGATGTATGTCCAGCTCCTGTTCTATACTATCCACTCCATAGACGATGGTTATTTTTGTTATGAGTATGATTTGGCCCCCATGCCCTCTGCTCTAACTCAACTCCCATCTTCTCCCTGTCAGGTATACTGACCCACTTGCCATTCCCTTATTAGAACATGCACTCTCTGCCTGGCTTTCCACTTCTCACTTTGCACACGGTGGAATCTTGGCGGAAGCACCTCACATCCTGGTGAACCTGGTAGTCCCCTGTGATTCAGTTGGCCTCTGCACTTCTCCAGGAAATTCTCTCTGCCACTCCAGGCTGGGTGAAGCTGCTCCTCAGTTTCCCTAGCAACCCACAATGATATCAGGGTTCTTATTGCACCCTTAGGCAATTACTGAGTTCCTTCCAAGGCTAGTCCAGACTCTCAGTGTATAAACCACCCTTGACATAATTAATTCCATCTTAGAAAAACCCTCCATTTTATATTTCATAGGCACTTTGCTAACAAGGATAAGATGTTTTGCTTAATGAACAGGTTTTAAAAAAGAACACAAACAAGCACACTCATCCACTATCAGTTCTCACCAGAGGACCCTCTGACTGTAAAAGAGCCAAGCCTTCAGCTTGTCTGTCTTCACTAACACCGTCTTGCAGTCACTCGTGATAAGAACTCAGAAGCTGCCACCAAAAGCTCTGCCACGTCAAAGACTCTTCCTTGCAGACCACCAGGCCCAGACCAGGACTCCCTTTGTCTTCTTCGCTCCCTTCGGATTGGTTCATTAACCCTTTCGCCTATCTCTTTTTTCTCTTGATGTTAAATATTACTTTGTTTGTTGTGGAATGTTTAATCTACAACATTCGTATAGTGATTAAGTATACTAGTATGTATGGTTTGCAATATTTACTGACTTATGGAGTGGCTTGAACCTATGTGCTCTGACTACAGAGTGAGCAGGAAGGACTAAGGAGAATTGCCTCCTTGGGAACTCCATCTAGCTTCTGGATTTTGTGATTGAAATAGCATTAAAAAAAAAAAAAAAAAAGACTGACATTGTGGAGAGATACAAACGTGTATGGACCTGGTCATCTCTAATCTCGAACTGCTATGACACTCAGAGAGGTTGAGAGGCCCAGAACACTCCCCTCATTCAAGGCTCTGCATGAAGAGAAGGAAGAAATTATGCAATATTTTATTTATTTATTTTTTCAGATGAAGCCTCTCTCTGTTGCCCGGGCTGGAGTGCAATGGCGTGATCTTGGTTCACTGCAACCTCTGCCTCCTTTGTTCAAGCCATTCTCCTGCCTCAGCCTCACAAGTAGCTGGGACTACAGGCATGTGCCATCATGCCTGGCTAATTTTTGTATTTTTAGTAGAGATGGGGTTTCACCATGTTGGCCAGGCTGGTCTCGAACTCTTGACCTCAAGTGATCCACCCGCCTCAGTCTCCCAAAGTGCTGGGATTACAGGCTTGAGCCACTGAGCCAGCCTAATTGTTCGATATTTTAAATGTTTAAATGACCAGCAAGTCATAGGTGCTCAACAAATATTTGTTGAATGACAACAAATTAGCACTGTTGACACAAAAAGGGCAATGCAATGTATGTGCTATTTAATATTTGCAGATTTTTATTTAAAAATCTGAATTCACAGTACACTGCAGGTGGTTGCTTGGAAGCATACAAGTTTCAAGTTCTGTCACCCTGTGTATACTTTTTTTTTTTTTTTTTTTTTTTGAGATCTCGGAAGTCTCGCTCTTGCTGCCCAGGCTGGAGTGCAATGGTGCGGTCTTAGCTCACCTCAACCTCTGCCTCCCGGGTTCAAGCGATTCTCATGCCCCAGGCTCCCGAATAGCTGGGATTACAGGTGCGTGCCACCACGCCCGGCTGATTTTTGTATTTTTAGTAGAGATGGGGACCAACGTGGACCATGTTGGCCAGGCTGGTCTCGAAATCCTGACCTCAAGTGATCCGCCCATCTTGGCCTTCCAAAGTGCTAGGATTACAGGCATGAGCCATCGCCTGGCTACCCTGTGTATCTGGAGACAACTGCCAAGTCTAAATTTGCAGAGGTAAGGGAAGGAGAAGTTTTGACCCAGTGGCCCCGGCTCGCCCTGCCTGCTGGGGAGATGGGCAGCTCCTAGGACAGGAGCTGGGTCCTCAAGACGTGGCACGAGGAAGGGGGTCGCAGTAAGCCCCCAGCGGCTCCCACACTGCGCACTCCTGGGGGGTCCCTCTGCCAGCCTCAACCCAGCCCCCTCCTAGCCGGCGGGCGGTGGCAGTCTCCGTGATATCTTTCCGTTCAGCCAGCAGGCGGCGCCCTCCGGCCCTTGTTTCGTCGGGCCCGGACGGGGCGTGCGCGCTCAAAGGTTGCCC